CGGGCTTGAGATCTCTTCGCCTTTAACAGAAAACTTTCCGCTATCCCAAATACTCAGATGAGTAATAAGCGGCAGACTTGAAGAGTTGTTTGACTTGAAGAGTCGATAATTCTGAGTTTCGTGCGATTGCGCGCTGTATGAGACATCCACGGGCTTCATTTATCTACAAAGTATTGATTTATATCTCGTTAGTATAAAAGATACAGTAAATCCCGAGCAGTTTTGCTGTTCTATTATACGCTTGTTTACAGCCGAGTTCGTAATGTGATATTTCGTTTAGAGATCGGAGTGCGATCGGGGGCAAAGGTACACCCGAGTCCGCAATGTGATATGCGTTCGGGACGCAAAGGTCAGCCCGAAGACAAAGGTCTCACATAGAAAAAAACAAACAAAACTAAACTCGCTGCATTTTCTGACTCGTGACCCGGCCAAGGGCCTGGTCACGAGTAATAATGCATACTATTGCAGACCACGTTTAAACTGCTCTACTAGGGTTTAAGCATCACGTTGACGGCAAACGGCTAACGGCAGAGCTGAACCAATGACCCACGAATTTCGTGCCTGACCTTGTTCTTTTGGTAGTCATTTGAAAGAGTGGCTTTTCACGATTATGGCAACTCCAAACTAACCCGCTCTCGTGTTGAAACTGCAATGTTAAACTCCAAAAAAGCAGATCACGTGATCTTTTCTGCCGTTTGCCGTGAACGTCATGCTAAACTTCTCTACTGAGTACTGAGTCTAACTCAACGAGCTCTGCTGGCAAAACAGTTCCATCGTCTAATATAGATCTGGGGAAAAACGAATAAAAATATTTCAGTGTTCTTTGTTGCCTTAAGTATCTTGGAAATACTTAAAATTGTGACTGCCTCTAGTTCTAAATTCTGTGTGTGGGCGGAGATAAGTGTCCACATCTATGTCAATTTGACCTCGTCTCATTTTGTAAAGGAGGATAAGTCGTGCCATTTCGCGCCTTGACTCCAAGGTGGACCACTGTAGTTCGCGTAACATTTCATTGACGCTCGCAGTAGGAGTATAATTACTGAGGCAGAATCGTGCAGCTTTCCTCTGAACTTTCTCGAGAGAGGCAGTCCTTCTGGAGGCGGGGGTCCCAGGCGACACCTGTTTTGTCTATTTATCGACATATTGATCAAGATTTGATTTATCATTTTACATGTAATTGATTAACCTTTTACAAGTCTTGCAACAGAGCTCCTTTGTTTGTTGTTTATTCACTTTTTCACTTTTTCACTTTTTGATTTTATTTGTGGGTCGCAAATTCAGTTTTTTCTTCTTTTTAATTTTTTATCACTTGTTTTTATTTTCGTATTTCACTCATTTGCATCGTATTATGTATTCATGTAGTGTTTGTTGAAAAAGGTCGGTCTTAGTTGTTGGAAATTTGTTCAATTGCCCTAAATCCCAGAGGGGAGGGGGGGGGGGACTCCCTAATAAAAAAGGCTGGGGTCCTCGTCGTCCCTTCTAGGGTTTGAAATCAGTGTTTTGGTCCCGCTTAGGGTGATAATGACGAGAATCCCCATCAAATGAGTTTTGTGGTGCCTTTTAGGGTATACGACGATCCTAAGCCGTCATAGTCATATATTTGTATATGACAACGTCGTATACKAGCCAACGACGTTTGATGCTTGTGCAAAAAACACAAATAAAATCGGGAAACCACAACAAAATAACCGTTTATTGATTGGTCCCCTAGGGGTGAAATTTCAGCGCTGCCACGCCCATCATCTCACAATACAGGTCCCTTTTCGGGGTCATTTTCAGAATTTCCGACGAGGACCCCCGCCCTTTATTATAAGGGATGGCCAAAGCCCTCCTAAATGAAGAGATCGTTTCATATCGAAAGCGTGGGAACGAGGTTATTATGTTTCCCTAACTGATTTTGCTGACTACACCAAACTTGCAATTTTCTGATTTTTTTCTTTCTCACAAAAAAAGCAAGTATTCTGGAATGAGAAAAAAGAAGGAAAAATGCTAGCGAAAGCGACCATCGTTCGGTGGTAGCATGAAATCGAGGCACCTTGAGCCTTCCCATGATAGGTCAGCGGTCTCTCTTTCTCTGGTAGCCATCTTGGATTTTGGAAAAAGTGAAGCAGTGTTGTAGGGAAACTTCTTATATAGCCATAAATCTTGTAAGCTATTTGGTTTATATTTTAAAGTATACAAATGCAATTTTTATTCAACCGTTTATTTATGATAGAGAAAAGATGATAATTCCATCTCTTCGAGCACTCAGAGTTCGTGGCCCGAGCCTTGTACGACGAATGGCAAGCAATCCAACGGCTGAAGATCTTGGATTGAAAGGCATGCAAGTTTACTTCAATGCTTATACTACTGTGGGAAGACGAAACGTAAGAATGCACTAATAAATTTTTAGTCTAATTAGCGTTTTAAGTAACAGTTATTACTTTCCTAACTGCTAACTCTTAAAACATCTTCATGGGCAAGCCCAGCGAAACACAAATGTTGTGGTCTCATGTACGTGTCTGGTACATGTATTTATTCATGATTTATTCATTTGTTTAGATTGTAGTTGCCACATATGGAGTGTTTTTTGGTCTTATATTCCTGTACAAATCCAGGAAATCAAAGACACCTGAAGAAAAATCTGCTTGATTTGAATGTCATTTATCTGGATAATGTGTGAAGTGTTTACTGGTACTGTTGTACTTACATTGGGAGTTGTTCAATATTGAAATGATTTTATCAAATAATAAAACACTGTTTATAGTATTGGTGTTTATGATATATTGTTGGTGAGGAAGTCTAGTGCTTCCTGGGATCAACATTAATAATGATTGCACACAGGGGACCAGTATGGATGCAGTCAATGTCCAAAACATTAGACCAAGTCAGAAAGTAGATCAAATGTTCATAAGGTTAAAATAAGAGTTTTCATGTCAGTTTGTCAGGGTGACTTTGCTATTGTTTTGGTACAGTTAAAAGTATATTAGATATCTCATACATGATACTTCTAAGTGCATGGCAGTGTCCCACACATTCCATAAGTTCCTTGTGCCTTCTAAGCACACTAAGACAAGCACAAAGTCTCAGTCAATATTAGAAATACTCAGTCCAGTTTTAAAATTTCTTTACTACAGGCTAGGCCTCATCATTGTATTCTTGGCATACAGAGTTTTTACATAAATAAGGCTTTGATATGATACAAAAATAGATTACAAGTTTTTGAGGGAAAGGCTGTGTAAACAACAGGAGTGGATCCAGTGTTTTATAAGGGGAGGTGCTTTCGTCAGTGATAATATATAGCTAAATAGTAAGTATTGCAGATGGAGCTGATCATTTTTGTTAGCTGGCTATAATCTAGAGCAAGAAAAATATGCACAATTTTATCGAAATGAAATTGACTTCTATTGCAATGTATTTTTTGACTACACTACTCAAATAGATTGTTAAGCAGCATAGTGGCAGACACATGTTGTGTATGCTACTCGTTTTCTCGATATGTAAGTACAACAGGAATATAAACAGCACAAAAACGTTTATACTGATATACCTACTTGCAGAAACGTTGTCATAGAAAATAGAACATTCGAATTTAGTAAAAAGGAATAAATTAAAACAAAACAAAAGAATTAAGCGTTCAGCCTCAGTGATCTTCTTTTGTCTTGTTAATTTATCCCTTTTTACTAAAACACAAATGTCCTATTTTTTTATGAGAATGTTTTCGCAAGTAAGTGTATATATAAACAAATTATGTTGTTCGAAAAAGGGGGGGGGGTGCATCTACACCCAAAGCACCTCCCCTGGGTCCGCCCCTGAACAAGATCTCAAATCAGGAGCATTTGTATTTTTCTCCACTGGCCCAAATTGATGTAAAATCCAAAGGTTTCTTCCATGTCTTCGGTGAACACCTTTAACAAGAGACTTACTAGATAAAGTCTAACATCAGCTAGGAAAGTTTGGCATAATCCCATTGGCAAGATCTGTTTCTAGTTTTTGTTTTCGTTGAAGGTCATCAACAACTTTGGTCCAGTTTGATACTTTTTCTGAAAGTTTACCAAGAACCTCTTCTTTCTGTTTGATTTCCATTCGTAACTGTGAAATCTCCTGAAGGGATATCAATGCAATATCAGCCATATACTCAAAATGTATGTCTATTTATATGAATGTTGATCTTGGAGTTTGGGCTTCCGCTAGTAAAAAAGAAAGTGCTCAAACATTTTAAAATAGCCTCGATTTAAATGGTGGATGGGATGGGAGATGATTTTAAGGGTATTTCAGAAAATGGTAATCATATTAGAAAAGTAGAGATACAAATAACAAAATATGTAGAAGAAGATGTACTTGTTTCAAGGACTCGTCCGGGTGTTGTACTCTCACATAAGCTTGCTTCTTTAAAAAGTCTTCCTCTAGTTGTTTTGCACATTCAAGAAATCTTGATATAGCAGCCTCAACACCTGAAATCGTTCACAAAGAGAACATTTTTAAACGTTAAAAGAGAACACGCACTACAATTTACAAAACATCAAAAGACATTCACTTTAAAGGAAATCCATTTGACCACTTAAAGTTTTGTGATTTATTACTTTAAAAAATAGGTCAGATGGCTAAAAAAGTTCTGCAATCAGTTAATAATCGGCAAGGATGAATGATATTTCTTTCCTGAGTGACTTGCCTGCTTTGTTGTCGATATTTTGACTTTTCAGTTTTTCCAGGGAATCAACGCCAAGAAGTGTTATGCAGGACTGTGAAAAATGATTAGTACAAATTGAATAAGTAACTAAATTACACATCGCTTCACAAATACACTAGACAAACCTGTAGAGATCGTTCCAACGAGCTTACCAGGTCTTCCGCCATTTTGTTTTGCCAATGATTCTAAACTTTGGGGTCCCTGTGTGTTTGCCCAAGTGTTGGAGGGGTCGGGAGGGGTAGAGTACGGAGATGGATTGGCATTCAAAGAAGCGAAAAAACAGTCCAGTTTCTTTTCAGATTTTTGGTTGTAAAATGCTTCCTAAAGAACGATAAACACATATTGATCACAATGTGACATTTATGGAAATAAGATGTAAAACAAAGCTAAAAACGTTATATGCAAATTTCCCCTGGGTCGCCCGGTGAGTCTCGAGATTCCCGGGACAGCTGTGGACAGCCACGATCGTCACGGGACGTCTGCAGAGCGGAAATCATACGCAAACAGATCGAGAGTGATCTCGAAGAAAATCCATTTTTGCTGCGTATAAAAAGAACTTTTATATCGTTGTAAGTATCTTGCTAATTAAGAAAGTTGCACAAATAGCGTTAGAAATAAATATTTTTAACATTTTTGTCAATCTTGGCATTGCATGGCCATTTGCTTTTGGTCAACTAGCGCCCCATGATCATGATAATGCAGTTTTTATTTTACTTAAAAGAGGTCTGTACCTGCAGAATTTTTGAAATTGTCCCTATATTGATTCTCTATTATTTCATATCAATTATTCTAGGCATGATAATTAACTCAATTTTTCCCTATGTATAATTTTGTCATGTTACTAAATTCTGGTTTTGTTTTGCAGGTCTGACAGCTTGCAAATATGGGACAAGCAAAGAGATTCACAATAAAGCAACTTGTCACTGTAGAGCCAGTGATTTTCTTCTATGCATTTGCCTTATTCATGCATCAGCCAGTTATTAACCAATATATATATTCCCGCATTGCTAAAGCCAAAGGATTTCCATATACGACAACCAAAGGCAGCAGTTGTGGAAATGTGACTGCTCTAAATGATACAATGAAAGACCTTGAAAAACAGGTATTAAGACAAACTCACCAACTCTATTTTTAAGCCTCAATTGTGACATCATTGGTGTACAATCTAGCCTCCACCACAGCCTGTTAAATAATATATATTGACTTCAAGCAGGTTGCTAAGGAGACCAATAAGATTTTGTATACCAGTGATAAGAGTGAAATAAAGGTTAAAAGAGGAAGCAGCAACAACACTCCCCCCTCCCTCCCTCCCACTGAAACTAGATGACTTAGTTTGAGAATTTTGATTTTATTTCCAGGTTCAGTCACTGTCATCATATGTTCACCTTGGAGTGGTAATGTTTTCTTCAATACCATCTCTCTTCACCTCTCTTTTAATTGGGAGCTGGACTGACTCAAGAGGAAGAAAACCTGCATTATTTTTACCTGCACTTGGTAGTGCAATAGAGGCTGGTTTAACTATATTAGTCATGTATATGGAGTGGCCAGTTTATGTGTTGTTTTTTGGTGCTGCTATAAATGGTATTTGTGGTCATTTTACAACAGTTATCACTGGTGTTATGGCATACATTGTGGACACAACTGATGAATCACAACGATCTCTTCGTTTGGGTATGCAAAAAAAATGAATACTTGAAATATACATTAGCATATATAAATGATCATGATTATGCTTGTTACGTGACACCACAAGTTAATACCCATTTTGTGAATTTTAAAATAATTGTGATTGATGTTTGTTTTAGCTGTTCTTGAGCTACTTACATTTGTTGGAGGTATGGTCAGTCAACTGACAAGTGGTCTTTGGATTAAGAATCATGGCTTTATCACTCCCTACTGGTTCATTCTTGGATGCCTCATCTTTTCAGTTCTTTATACAGCATTCTTTGTGCCAGAGTCAAGACTTCCTTCAGAAATGAAAGAAGAAAAATTTAGATTGTTCAGCTGGAAAGGTGTGAAAAGAATCTTCAGAGTCTACTCTACTCCAAGAGAGGGAGGAAGGTGTAACTTGTTCTTGTTAACATTTGGTAATGGTATTCTGTCATCAATTTCAATGGGACTTGGTGCTGTTCTCACACTTTTTATAATCCATACACCATTGTGTTTTTCACCTGAGTGGGTTGGTTATTTCACTGCATGGAGAAGTTTATCCATTGGTCTTGGTGCTGTGTTTGGTATCAAGATTTTAGGGATGTGGATCTCTGAGCTGACAATTGCAAAGACTGGTATTGTAACAAGATTTTGCTCCTTGATTATTATTGGGTTTTCTAAGACAAAGGTTCAAGTCTATATGGGTATGTTTACTAATCTGGTCAATGAGATATTTCAATATATTACAAAATATTTCATTTGTTTCAATTGTTGTGATCTATTAGTAGTTTTCAAGATTCATTAGTTGCCAATTTTTGTACTGTCATAACATGGTACCCATGGTGATATATTATACTGTTCATTTCTTGACTTATCAGAAATTATCAATTTTTTTCGTTGCATTTAAGAAAAATTAAAGAAAATGTTTGTTTGATTGCAGGTCCATTAGTTGGGCTGTTAAATGGATGCTCAAGCCCTATCTTCAGAGGAATGTTATCAAGAATTGTAAGCGAGGATGAACAAGGTAATACACACTATAGAACTTATTGACGTCTCAAAGGGAGAAATGGTATGCAGCATTTTATCATATCAATTAATTAAGCATGTTGATGTTGATTGACTTTCACCATGCATGGGCTCAGTGCAAATGTGCGTCAACAAGTTCCTGGCTGATTACCATTTGCATTTTCCCAAATTCTCCATTTTGTCCCATTTTGTCCCATCCGGCCTTGCTATCCATTCATTTTACCAAATCGATCAATCTTCCTGATCTTTACATGTACATCCATCAAACTCTATTTTTTTCTTAATATATCTGTAATTTTTTGTTTTCTTTTTCTAGGTGCTCTTTTTTCTGCAGTTGCATGTCTTGAGACATTATCAACTTTCATTGGTGCTTTCATCTTCAATACAATCTACCCGGCATCTTTAAAGATGGACTTTCCCCCACTTGTATTTCTAATTGGAGCAGGTCTCTTGATATTACCATTTTTGTTTACATGGTAAGCTTATCGAATAATTATTTTGATATGACTAATGCTACGGAAAACCATGACAGCTGTGGTCATTGAAAATACAGTATATATGTGTGTGTACTAATCCATTTTTTGTATGACAGGTGTTTGAAGAATCCAATGTTACTTTTGTCCAAAAAAGATCGCGCACAGGTTGTTGTGGGAAGTTACGAGAAAATGGAGGATGTGAATGTGAATTCAGATCCTGTTTCAGGCAGTTCAAATGGAACTGCAGTCACTGATGAAATATGCAGTAGTGTAAGGCAACGTGAAAACTCTACTTATGGTACACCAGATGCCTGAGAAACTACATTATGGGTACCCTGTGGTAGTAACTCATGGGATCCCTGTGGCAGTTTTTATGGATCAATTTTATTTTGCTGAAACCATAGACTAGATCTCACTCTTTACGTTTGAGCTGTGATAACTTCTTGAACAAAAATTTGCCATTATCCAGCAGCTTTGACTACTCTTATGGAATTATTGTACTGTATTTCAAAATTTGTATTATTGGTCTAGAGTGAAGAGTGAGCGAGTCTACTTAAAGCAACTAGCTATTAAATAGATATTAATAGATGCTGTAAATAGATGGATTTATAAAATCCTAATAATAACAATTATAATCTCCAATCAACATGTGGATGATTGTAATTCCGTGATGTATAAATTGTAATTTTTTTTCATTTGTATCAAAAATAAGATAATCAGAAAAAAAATATGTATGATGTGGATAATAAAATCATTTTTTCATTGTGAGTGATTATATAGTAACTGTTCGTTTAAGGGGGATGAGTGATGAGGGTTCTCTTTTTAAATATAAAAATCTTTTTTAAATTTAGCGTATCAAAGAGTCAGACACTTTTGATTTTTGTTAGTTCAAAAAGTAAATGAAAAACAGACAAAATCCCCCTGTCTGTAGACCATATGAAAAAGGGTGTGGCTATCGTAAAGCCTGAGTTTATTAGTTGTATAATATATCATTATTACTCATTGAAAGAACACATAAAGAGTGAGATCTGAAAGTTTCAATGCTCTTACATTTAAAGACCAGAAATTACAGGTGTTTGAAATTGTATCCTGGCCAGTATTGAGGCCTTACCAGCCTCGTTTTCACGTTTTTAGTACGTTAGTCTCGTAGCTCTGCCGATATTTTACCATTTGAAACTATGTATTATTTTTTTATCGTGAAAACAGTGTTAAAAACATGGACGGTTTAAGATGCTAGTCTTCTTCAGCTCGTTTTTCATATGATTAATTTACATAATAATGATGTCACGGTCTACGTCACGCTTGTCACGGGATCAAATTTCTGTTTCTACTGCGGTTCCGGTCGCTGCAGAATATGCTTCGCAACATGCTCAAGATCGATCCATAATATCGTCCTCAAGATCCTCAATGATATTGTAAATCGTAAGTATCATTGTTAAAAGTGCCGATATTGTTGACATTTAATTGAAAATCTATTGACAAATATCACAAATCGTGCAGATCAAAATGCAAACCAGCTGATTCTGAATCATTTGAAAAGGAAAACTTAAAGCTGAATTAAATTTAGGTTAATGTAGAAATGAAGCACCGATGTTTAAGGCTAATTCACGGCATATGAAAGTCAGATTACTTGAGGTTTGGCGCTCAGTGATTTTCAGCGTCTAGGGGGTGTTTTACTAAGGAGAATTTTTAACAAGAAAGGGCACAAAGCAGCGGCATACCTGAAAATGACAATGTGTTGACAAGGAAACTGACGTCATTAAATAGACTGGGTGTTAAAGCGCCTGGACATATTGCTGGACATAACGCGGCCATGTGGTCGTCGTTTTCTTGATAAAGCTGTCAAATTAGCTTGACAACATAGAGGAAATTGTCATGAGATATGATTATATTTTGGTACCCCCAATTTTAAGGAATGTTGGCCATTATTAGAAAGTTATTATATTAAATTGCAATAATCCCATGTTTTTTTTCAGTGTTCAGTGAGCTTATTGGATTGAGGAGACCAATTGGTATGGGCCAAAGAAAACAATTCAGCATCAAACAGCTCGTCACTGTAGAGCCTGTGATTTTCTTCTATGCATTTGCATTATTTATGCATCAACCAGTAATTCAGCAATACATATATTTCCGTATTGCAAAAGCTAAAGGGTTTCCATATGAGACAAACAAAGCTAGCAGCTGTGGAAATGCAACATCTCTCAATAGTACTCTTATTGAACTTGAAAAAGAGGTAAAATTCATGTTTGATAATATCAGGATAACATTGTGTTTATTAAAAAATTATATTGTTTTCATATTAGATATAATCAAATCAGTCATTAATTATTCAAAATAATTTAGAAGTTTAAATTTGATAATAATAATATAATGTTATAAATTACTGTACTTATAGCAATATAAGATGTTCCCTATCAATATATATTATAAAAATGATGGAGTTATTATATTATTTTTTTTTAGGTTCAATCACTATCATCCTATGTTCTCCTTGGAGTTGTACTTTTCTCCTCAATACCATCTCTCTTCACCTCTCTTTTAATTGGGAGCTGGACTGACTCAAGAGGAAGAAAACCTGCATTACTTCTGCCAGCACTTGGTAGTTCCATAGAGGCTGGTTTAGCCATTGCAGTCATGTATATGGAGTGGCCAGTATATGTATTGTTTATTGGTGGTGCTATTAATGGTATTTCTGGTTACTTCACTACTGTCGTAATGGGTGTCATGGCATACGTTGTTGACACAACTGATGAATCACACCACTCTGTTCGCTTGGGTAAGCTTTAGGCTTACTTTAAGTAGTCAGATTTTTAAAATATAATAAATTCAATATGATTTCTTTAGCTGTTCTTGAGCTACTGACATATGCTGGAGGTATGGTCAGTCAACTGACAAGTGGTCTTTGGATAGAGAAGTATGGTTTTATAACCCCTTACTGGTTCATCCTTGGGTGCCTGCTTTTTTCAGTTCTGTATACTGCAATCTTTGTACCTGAATCAAGGCCCCCTTCAGATTTACCAGATGAAAAAGTTAGTTTTTTTAGCTGCAAAAGTTTAAAAAGAATCTACAAAGTGTATTCAGCCCCTAGAGAAGGAGGAAGACGTAATTTGGTCCTGATAACAATTTGCAGTGGCATTTTGCAATCAGTATTAATGGGTCTTACTGCTACCATTACACTTTTTATGATTCATACGCCGTTGTGTTTTTCACCTGAATGGGTTGGTTATTTCACTGCATGGAGAAGTCTTTCCATTGGTCTTGGAGCAATATTGGGAATCAAACTTTTGGGAAAGTGTTTTTCTGAGTTGACAATTGCAAGATTTGGAATCTTGACAAGGTTAGGCTCTCTGGTGCTATTGGGGTTTTCCACGACAAAGCTTCTAATATATATGGGTGAGTAATATGATTTTTCCACGGACTAGATGTATGTATTAAGTTAATTAGGTGAAAAATCAAATCAGCTAGATTTAATATTTGAATTGTCGATAAGCGTACAGACCATAGAAAAGCAATTTCGATTTGTTTTTACCATAACAAAGCTGAAAACAAAGTTAAACTTCCAAAACAAAATCGTTTCTGGTGCGCGCCGGTTCCATGCGTGAGCAATTCCTCATTTCATTGGTCTGTCCTACGATCGACAACAGCTCTCGACCAATCAGCGCGCGAGAATTCTACAACTTATGGTAAAAATACATATTGTTTCACTTATAGTTCCACTTGTTGGCTTGTTAAATGGTTGTCCACTCCCAATCATGAGAGGAATGTTATCAAGAATTGTTAGCAGTGATGAACAAGGTGACTATTGTTCATAAAAGTGTGCAGCATACCCTCTTATTATCCAAGGCAAACAATCACAAACAATCATCCATCACTCAATGCATAGGGTCTTTTTGCGTGCTGTGATTGTCTAGAGCGCAGTGTGGTATTTCAGGATCTTCCTGGTCCACGGTATCCTGCAGCTAGGATGGGAGCAAAGTGGCAGAAAATACGAAAAAAAAGTAAAAATGTCATTTGCTGGCTATAGGTTAGTCTGTATAGGAAACACTGCCCTCAGCCTTTACTGTCAAGACCTCAGGCAGTGTTTTCCTATATGGCCTCCTAGCCGGTAAATAACATATAATTGTCCACCTAATATTTGAGGGATTCTATTCATCCATCTACTTCAAATAATCCATTCAGATAGAAACCATCTCCYATCCCATCCATCCATTCAAATTCAAACCATTTATACATCCTTCCATCCATTCTTTCATAGGTAAATCCACTGATCAATGTATTCAAACTTATCCATCTTTATACAGCCAGTTGTAGAGTAATTATCACTAACCATGCATGTTTGTTGTAGGTGCCCTATTTGCTGCTGTGGCTTCACTTGAGACATTGTCAAACTTCCTTGGCTCGTTCATGTTCAACACCCTCTACCCTGCATCATTAAAAGCAGATTTTCCACCATTTGTGTTCCTTCTTGGGGCAGGTCTCACCATAATACCATTTGTTCTTTTGTGGTAAGAGATGTTTACATGTGATAGTCAATGAGTATCAATGATATATTGGTAGATGCTTGTTATTTATTGGCGATATCCTGTTCCAGAGAAAATCCAGCATTAGCCTACGTGTAGCCTGAATTTTTACCCCGTGAATTTTTACCCAGCATCAATAATTCCGGAAATAAACCCTGACCCTGTTCCAGAGAGAAAATTCATTGAAATCGATACCCTGTTCCAGAGTAAAATCGCTAAAAACGATACCCAGTTCCAGAGTAAAATCGCTGAGAACAATACCCTGGTTGGCGGCGAATATAGGGCAGTAACCCACCACCACCACCCCCCCCCCTCAGCAAATTTCAAAGCTTTATAATCTCATGTCTTCTTCTACCTTGTTGCCAGGTTTCTTAAGAATCCAAGATCATTGTTAACCAAAAGAGACCGCGTACAAATTGTCGGAAACTCTGGAGAAATTGATGATGACAGTTTAAAAAACACTGTTGACAATTTTGATCCAGACTCATCTGCAACAGAAACATCTCCATTAACTGATAGTATGCGGCACCGTGGAAGCTACACCAACAATGCTGCACCTGAAGCAGTGGCTTAGATGTAATGGGCTGCCTGTGGATGGCATAGAATATTATTGTACACATGAATTGAATATTTCTCCTACACTATTTTTAATTATGAATGCAATCATCACATGGCACAAGTTTTGATAGGCCATTAATTTTCAGGTTCAGCTTTAAATTTTCCAGAACATTCAAGATTATCATCTGATATTATATATAATTAACGTTTTAATGAAATGAAAAAAAAAATGTTATAAAACAACAAATAAATGAAGAAATATTGAGATTTTGTACAAGAACTTTTACATATTCTTTAATTTCTTCCGTTTTCCTTGAATTCATAATTTTCTATTTTTAGTTTCAAGTAAAATGGGAGATATCCCAAATTACCTGCCACCACAGAGTTCCCAATCGGTGCTTCCTAGCCTGAAGGTTTCGGATCCTCCAAACAATATAAATAATTCTTATATTTTTCTGATTTACTTCTTTTGCACCAGCAGTTCTTTTGAACATGACTAAATACGTCTGAATATCGGAAGTGGGCTATGATTAATTTATCTCAGAATTCATTGTACCCCGCCAGCGCGCGGGCTTGCTGTGTTGATCGAGCCCGCGATATTTGAATGTTTGGTGCCGTTTGGTGATGGATGCTGAAGACAACTCAAGTAAGTGATCCTTTTATTTAGCAATTTTTGCGGCTTTTTTCTCACAAAATTGCAAAAAAAAACATCGTAGATTTAAGCGTTAGCATTTTGCTTCTTTGAACTCAATTTAATTGAAGCGTCACGCCAGAAATAATTGACATAATTTATTTCCAAACTCTGCTGGACCTTTCCCTATGAGTTGGTATATTGTGAAGCAAATCTTGTTTAATATTTATAATATATTTGTGATTTGTTTTCATTTCTTGTTCTTAGTTAACCTTGTTGTAAGATAGACTTATGGTAATGTTTTACTGTCACTTTTGAACGCTAACCTTTCAGAACTTGTATTAAAAGTCACATTATACTGACAAACGTTTAAGCACACTCAGTAGCTGGGCCTTGTTTGCAAGCATGATTATATTAACTAGGTAAATAGCTAATTCCTCTAAAGTCTTATATTGCCTGACTGGTGCTATTTAATCGTGAACAACATAGTTTAAACTCTAACTTATCTTGATTGACATGGCAAGGTGACAAAGGTCACAATAATGTGCCTCCTCCCTCCTCCCCCACGGGATTAGTTTCTGGAGAACGAGTCTCCACTGTTTGTTCATAGTAGCAGGCCAGTCAAAAAATACTAAAAGGCTGCTTTAAAACCTGATTTAGTTTAGTATGCTACATCCATTCGTTTACCTCCATGTAAATGAGACCAACCCCCTCTCCTAACACCCTCAAAAAAGCCATGGAAATCCCATCCTGCGGACATAATACGACCTACGATCAAATAGACATGTTTCCTAGCAAAATATCTAAGGTTTATGAAGCTATATTTATAAACATTGTCGGTGAAACTTCAAGTTGATAAAGTCCTTTAGGCACGCACCTCATGACGTAATTACGCGGTTTAGAGCCTGGGGCTTGTACAATGCCGATAGCACGTATCGATGTTTAAGTATTTTGATATAATTTCAAGTATGATTAGATATTTGAATTTCATGTCTGTCAGAGTTCACGATAGCTTGCACGCTATTGACTCACTGATGTTCCTTTCTTTGTTGTAGTTTTTGTCAGCTCTTGTTTATTGTTGTTACTGTCTCTGCTGTTGTTGTTGCTACTGCTGCTGCAGATGTTGTTGTTGATGTCGTTGTCAATGTTATTGCTGTTGTTGTTGCTGTGATTGGGTGTCAGTGTTTGTTGTTGGTGTCGTTGTCAATGTTATTTCTGTTGTTGTTGCTGTAGTTGGGTTTGTCAGTGTTTGTTGTTGATGTTGTTGTACGTTTGATTGTACTTCCCTCAGGTATTATTTCAGTTTGTAGTTGAACGTCAATCTCATCCTTATCTTAATCGTCGACATCGTCATTGTTTACTTTTGTAAGATTTTAACAATCATTGAACTATAAACGTAGAGCTTTTCGTGATATAGGATCGAGAGATTACAGAGACTATACTAATGTTATTGTGTCTCCATGCCCAACTGCCTATATCTGTGACATTTACTTATCTCAGAACTAGATATTAATGTCAAACAGGCATCGGCTTAATGCCTAAAGGTTTAGGTCTTCTGCCCACGGCGCATATTTCGTGTTTGATATCAAGCCATCGCGTCTTTTAATTAAGATATCGCTGAGATTGAATTTTTGCCGCCCTGGGCGCGTGGTTTTGTTTTGGTAGCAGTGTTCTAGGGCTTGTTAAGATAATGAATATGCTGATAATTTGAATAACTGAAAGAGAAATAACATGTTGTCCTGATAATGTAGTCACAAGGGGTATATACGGGCTATACGGGATATATACGGAATATACGAGATGTATACGGGCTATACGGTCTATATGTTGTTCCTGGTTTCTAATTCATGTCATGTGATTGTTAGAGTTAGAATGTGAAAATGATGCAATCTTCGTCTTAGTTGTAGTTTTAAAAAGGTATAGTACAAGTATCCTTTGTTGATTCACTGCCAACTACCTTAGCGTGATATCTTTATCACAAGAATCATTTCAAGACACTTTAAAGGAGTGAAACGAATAGAGTCATCGATATTTAAGACTGATATGTGATCATTATTGATACCCGATGATACTCTAAACCTTTGGTTTAATTAGATTTTCAAAGAGTTCTTGTCTGTCGCTGATAATAATCGTGATGTTGTTTTAAATGTTATGGGACGGCAAACACGATAGCAAAGGCGAAAAGTGATTTTAAATGAGTTGTACTTTGTAATGTTTTATCTTATGATAGGACCTTCATGAAAAAAAAAACCGTTTCACGTTCCTCTAAAACACTGATACAGCTGGTCCATGTAATGCCCATCGCTTGCAACCTTCACTTGGGCGTGGCGTCCGATTGATCAATCCAGAACAAGAAGGTTAAATAGACTTTTTTAGTTCGAAAAATACTGAGCTGAAAATATTCCCACGACTAGGCGTGCTTACCATGATCAGATATTAGTCCTACGTATATATTGAGTTTTAAGGGTTTTGGAGTGGCGGAATGTGCTATAGCAATTATCTGATAGCGAATTAAGAAGATTAAGAACTTGAGTGTAGCTAAACTAACAGCGAGGCCTGCTTTATAATTTAGGACGTCGAATTCCTTATTTCTTGTCGTCTTGCAAACAGCGTCGTATTCTAAACGTATGATTGGAGTAATTTACTTTGACTTCAACACATGTGAGGTTCACCGTTTGATTCGCCGTAAGACGTTGCGTTCAGCATACTTTSCTGTCTAGCTGGGAATTACACCATGAAGCAGCAAACTTTGTCTGTATGATAACGATTTAAAATCATTCTTAATATGAATATTATCATTATCATTATACCAAGTAAAGTATAGCCAAAGAAAACGAGTTTAGTCTCCTTGATGAATCCTGGCAGCAATTTTCACAAATATTATGATATTGTGATCTAAACTAGGGGTTTCTAGTAAAGCGTTAAGATCGATCGTTTTCGGAAAATACGGCACAATCCGTATGAATACATGATACTGGTTTTAAACACTCGATGCTGTCAATGACTCACAACAAGAAGAGACAGAGGTTTTGTTATAGATATGTTTTCAAAATAATATATTTTCCATAAAATACGCGGATTATTGATAACATGAATTCAATTTTTAAGAGTCAAAGAATTCTTGAGTGAAGATTAGTGGATTGAGAATACAGTATATCCAGAATACATCATATTTCCCACTTCGATAAACTACAGGAAGACAAACCAAACGGTGGGCGTGTGAGGCGACAAATGTATTCTAGTTTCCATAAAGAAATGATGTGATCCTATCAGTGTTTTATCGCGTTGAAATCTAAATAAAACTCGAAACCGTTCTTAAAATAATTTTGATATTTTTAATTACGTTTTTTTTCCAGTAGCTTGTTTGAATGAAGTCTTCTTTGTGCGATTGTTTTTTTATTGGTCTAGTTGTCCTTCCTCAAATGAAGTTTGTTAAGAACAGGGGACATATTTTTATACAGGGGATAGATACATTGCGAAAGTGTTTTTATGAAACAAATTCACTGTAATTGAGGTGTTCAGCTTTTCATCGCCAGAACGTGGTCTTGTCACGTTGCCCTAAAGGTTTGCGATGAGAGTGAAGTATTAATCTTCACTTGAGAAACGGATTTTCAATTGGTTTTTATTCGTGCAACGGTGAATGTGAAGCACATCGACCAAACTTTATCTTTTTAGTATAAATCGGATATTCCTGTAATGTTTTAATAATTCAGAATCTCCTTTCATCGGTGCCTCTTATTCTAGAGTTGTTTAGCTAGTAAATGAAGCTGTCCATCTGTCAAATATTAAGTTATCTTTCACAAACCATGTCAAAGATTGTTGTATTATACTGTTAATCAATTTGATTAGGTTCTGTTTTGTCTAGGTAATTATTAATGTTCTTAGTTTATCAAATTGAAAAAAAGGAAAGTTCTTTTTGAGCAATTTTCCGATAAGAACAGCCAGTGTATGAATTAGAAAAAGAAAATTAAGAAATTAAGAAAATAAATACCATAAATGTTGAAATCGGTGTTGGATGGGTGAATAAGTGAAGGAAATATTTGTTGGAAAAATGAATGAAAGGGAGGAATGAACGAAGAACTAGAAGAATATACGTTTAAATGAGAGATTCAGTGGATGCATAAAGGAATGGATAATGAAATGTAGGGATGAATAAAAGCCATCAATGATTTAACATTGAGTGAAATGAAAAACTGAGCTGATTTATGAAGAAATGGATGAAACTAGATGGATGAACAAATGAATGGATTAGAAATCGAACGAAAGAAAATTAAAAAAGAGAAATGAAATGAATATACTTTACTGTAACCGACGGTAAAATATGATTTTTAAAAGCAACAAATTATTCTCATGTCTCTTATCAAAATCTCATGATATTGCTTCAAGGCTCTGACAATTCTCTTGTATATTTAATATGTCTAATTAAATTCTCTTACAACATCACGCTCGCTTTCTAAAGGTTGTTTCTTTAGTGTTTATCTTTCATTTAGTTTTAATGTCATGTTAGTTCTATTAAGTCCAGATAAAGCTTTTAATTAATTTATGATCATCGAATAAAAATTCCAATGAACGACTTCAAGTAATTTCTGATTGTTATTTTATATAAGTTGCTATTTTAAATCGATTTTTGTCAATT